CACCAACCATTAGTCAGCTTCGCACAAACGACCAGCTACTGCCCAATACGCCCCAGATATTTATCGTCGCTCACTAATGGCACTTGAGTTGGAAGAGTATAACCCCAGAATAAACAGCAAAGCAAGCAGAGATGGAGCATTACAAATCAAACACATTAGAAATTGTCAACGCTAGACAAATGTACTCATCCAGAGAATGCATAAACGCTAAGCCAGGTCGATAGAGAAATCCTGATGTTATAGCATCTTTGATTCCTTTAGAACTCAAAACATGCACTGGACATAATCAAGGTGGCTAAGAATCCGAGCTTAGCGTAAGATAGTTAGTACTTTGGGCTATCTAGCAACTTGGAGCAAATTTCCGTAGCACAGCTCGTCAAAACCCTTAACAACTATAGATTTGAGGGTTATTTTGAGTGCACCATCTGTAATTGGATTGCAACACGAAATTTCAATGCAGGCCATGATCGCAATTAAGGGAACTTTGGACACTTGGGTAACTAGGACCAAAGCTAAAGCGAATGAGAATTGGGTGCTGCCCACCCGATAACAGTACAGGTTAGGCTAAGTTTTCTGATTTTAAGGTAGTTGAGCTGGCTTTGCCCGGCAATTAAGCTGAACAGTGTCAGAATATACCACTCCCTAGGTCAGTTTCAATATCTGCATTAATCGTGAGTTCAGGTGACTACGCCGGAAAGCATTCCAACCAGATGTGGTGGAACAATGAACAATGAATTTATACGGGTTAAAAAGCGTTGCTTTACAAGTCCCGTTGGATTGTTGGCGGGGATATCAACATAACAATAATGATGATAAGGATAGTAAAATAGTTAATACTTTTAAATATAAAAGTAAGGATTTATCGTTTGCTTCGCTGTAGTCCTGCGATCCTCTTAGATTCATAACACCCACAGTTAACAACAAATAATTCCATGGTATACTCCAGTTGTAGGACGGAGACGTAGTGTTAAGTAACAAAGTGTAAGTGGATGAGTGCATCGTCCAACCGTCTTTTAAATACTACTAATGTCGGTGCAGAGACGACCGATTCTGGGAGAGCATTCCACGGGTGACAGACACGAATGGAAAAGAAATTTCTGCGACACTCCAGACGACTGTATTGTTCTGTGAGTTTTAATGAGTGGCCTCCTCAAGGTTGTATTAGTACTGAGTCGCATTAAAGGGTGGCACACATGATGTGGGTCTCGCAGAATTAAGTATGCCATAATCAGGTCACCTTCTAGTCAGCGCTAGCTCCCACTGAACACCCCCAATCGTTGCAGCCTCTCCTGATAGGAAAGATTGCACATTCCAAGTACATTCTTTGATGCCCGACGTTGTGGTTTCTCCAGTGCATTAAGATCATGTTTCAGCCATGGATGCCAGGCTTGAATTGCGTATTCGACATGCGGGCGGACATACGCACAAAGCATTTGTCGAAATATGGAGCTGTTTATTTGTCCAAACGCCCGTCGCAACCGTCCGACGTGTCGGTTCCCAGTCTTCGAGGGCTTTTCGGATTGCCTGAAGCAACCCAAGTCAAGTTGAACCAGGACACCCAAGTCACGTTCGAGAGTTGCTTGTTGTCGTATATTCGTTCCGAGCCGGTGTGAGCAGCTGCCCTGATGTCGGATGAAAAGCACCTTGCATTTACTGACGTTGAAATGCAATAAGTTTTGGGTCGACCATTGATACACCTTAACGAGGTCACTCTGAAGTACATGTTGGTCGGTGTTCGCCTGGATCCTGCGCCAGATCTTGATTTCATCGGCAAACATTAGGAAGTTTGAAGCGATTCCCTTCGCTAGGTCATTAATAAACACCAAAAACAAACGTGGACCCAGAACTGAGCCTTGCGACACACCACACGCAACTTATATGGGGTTTGATAAAGAGCTCCGAACTCTGACCACTAATTGCCGTTTAAGTAGAAAGTTGGCAATCCAGCTTAGAAGAGGTTCGCCGATCCCATCAGGTTGCAGATTGGAGAGTATTATCCGATGGTCTAGACGAACGAAAGCCTTGGAAAAATCCAGGTAGATCACATCAACGACATCTCCAGCGTCAACTGCCTCGGTCCAACTAAGCGTGCAATTAGTAAGTTCGTTGTACATGACCGCTGTCGACGGAAACCGTGTTGCTCATGAGTGATGGTGTTGCACGTTTCCAGATAGCACACCAGTGTATTGGCAATTATGAATTCCATGACGTTGGAGAGTATAGAAAGAAGGAATACAGGGCTTTAGTTGGAGGGATAAGTTCTGCTTCCACCTTTGTGAATCGGGGTTATTATTCCAAGCTTCCACATGGCGGGAACTTGGTTCTGGTATAAGCCGCACTGAAAAAGCTGAGCTGAACATCCTGCTAGCTGGCTTGCTGCTGCTCCCATTGCCTCTGGACGAATGGTGTCGACACCCGGCGAGCTGTGTTTCTGCGTAGAGACGTTGCTGGAGGGAACGGTGTGCACGGTCGTTGTGGTCGTGTTAGGATCAAAGAGTGGTTCTATGCACACAGTGTGCAGCAGACTACGGTTCAGCCACCGCCTTGTGTGCGACTGATTCCCAAATACAGCGTGCTTTCGTTTGCCTGTGAAGGAGTGTAGGCCGGCTCCGTTGATGCAACGTGGCTCCCATCCATATGCCTCCCGGTCTTATTCCTTCGGGTTTACACTGAATATTGCGTGTGTGCTTGGAGCTGTGAGTGGTGCACCCCAAGCTACCTGTGGTCCCTGTGGCTGTCCCTGTGGAAGCCACAGTGACAGGCAAATCCGAAACAGGATGCCGCCAACCAAGTTAAGCAGACCAGATTACACTGCTGGTGTGGTAACCGGGCCAATCCAGAGTTGGGATATCTGATGACATCTGCATAAATTAGCCTTCATTATACTTTATTAGACTTCATTAGACTAATGTACTGGAACACATTTTTGGGTTCTCTATTGTTAAAAGACGTCAAATGTCCTAAAGTTCATATCATGCGCTAGCCATACATGTAAACTTTGCTATTTCACTGAAGAATTGTTAGCATTTTAAATATTTTTGTGCCCTTCCATCGGGAGAATTTAGCTATGTATAGCAGGGTTTCGTTCACCATTCGGTAGAGTTAGCCAACTAGACTTCATCGGTAGACCGATTCTAATATATTTGCGCAAATTTAGGCGCTGGCGATGGGCATCCGATCTTTTTGACCAACCACACCACCACCACTACCACTAATTGCTTTCAATATCAGTATCAGGCCTTTGCTTGGATATTGCGGTGTTACATTCGGTAACATTCGAAAGGGTGACTTTAGAGCCATTGAAACCTTCCAAGGTACCTATACGAAGCGCATACTTGGCTATTTAACCGCTTTTTCATAGAGAGATAGGTGCAAGGAGCTGAATCTTAAACCGCTGTGGTTACAAAGAATGCAATTAAATCTGTGCTCCCTCCACAAACTCGCGTGACTGAAAGCATATATTGGAACCTATCAATAGCGCTTTCCGGGTAATACTATTTATGAACTGTGAGATCGTGAATGTATATTCTCTTTATCTAAATTCAAGTCTAGCCTAAGGAGAAATTTCTACCTTATTAATTATGGCTCCATTTGGAACAGGCTGCTAAAAGAGATTAGATGTATTGAACATTTTTGAATGTTCAGAAAATATGACAAAATGTTATCTGTCAACTGACAAAGTGAATTGGATCTTAAAAATGCAACTTGATTATGAAAAGCTGTAAGAATGAGGGCCGGATCATGTATGATACTGGAGAACATCGACCGGAAAAATATCCAACAAACGCACCAAAGTAACATGATCACCTAGGATAATCTGTTACAAATTGCTTCTTATTCTATTCTTTGACGCTACCTCTTATGCGGTTTTACTGATTACAAAATTAATTCATATCAACCATCTTCTGTCTAAAACTGAGAGCAAAATTATTCGCTGCGTGGGGCCGGGAACTACTTTCGTAATTCTTCCCACAAATTGATTAATCCGCAATATCCTTCTGCGATTCCCTTCGATATTTTTATTCTGCAATTCTAAGCATTTCCCATTCTTTTCTGAAGTTAACAGTCCAGAAACATATACTTGAATTCAGTGATGGAAATAACGGATTCCCCATGCGACTTTTGCCTATGGACAACTCGTACAGTTTTCTCCCCCCTCCCCGGCTGTCACGCCGCACAATTTGATCGTAGGATTGGCTGGATCTATTTTTATGTTGATGTAAAAAACATACCTGCCTATTTTTTACATTAACAATCTAGTACCTTTTGCACACAATTCTTCTTCTTCTACATTCGTCCTTAGTTCATTGTTGGCTACGGCTGGGCTGATCTCCTGTGGTGACGGATTATAGCTTCCAGATTTTAAAAGACTTTACTTGTGCGAAGCACGTTGCCACCAACTGACTGGCATATAAAAAGTACCATAATTGAATGATCCGTATGACGGACTGGGCTGAGGCTTCATCGCCCGTACTACATATATAAAAGCAGTCCGAATAAGAACACAACATATGATAAACAGGTAACGGCTCATATGCTACTATGCCACACCGGCACGCGGCCAGGTATAGCATGGAAGTGAGGGCGAAATCTTTCGAGGGAATACCTTGCATGGAAGCAGATCCCCTGGGGACGGTTCCAAGGGTGGCCGTATTACTTTACCTGGACATTTGTTTAAATATGCATATGGTATTGTTCTTGGTTTTTTACTTTCTTTACTACCTTACTCCTGCCAATATTTTTATTACCCGTTTGGAATCCATTGTAAAAAACGTGAAAAAATTGATTACCTTTTACGATGCCGTTGTAACATTGATCAGACCACGTAGTTGGACTACACCACGTATCGCCGAGGAACATAACATTTATTTATTTATTTACTACGTAGCTGTTAACTCTGCCTCCAGGGTTAGCATGCAGCCCTACGAGATAAAAACCCTTTAACTCTGTACATTTCCACCCACGGTAGATGCAGCTACCGCAAAGATGTTTCAGCTCACTTTGCTCAAAGAGGACACAGACGTAGTAGGAATCATAGTGGCGCACATGCAAATCCACAGCAGATAAAAATCCAGTGTTCTCAGCGCATGCAATGGCGAAACATTTGGTAAGCTAAGTGAAAAATAGAAGGGAAAGTCGGCATTTGGGTCAGATCTGACTGGGACATAATCGTTGAAACTCAGAGAAAGTTGGCAATATCCAAACACTTTCTAACAGGGATCTGTGAAGCGTCTCATGTGAGACCCAGTTTCATATATCAATAAGCAGATTTCATACATGGCAACCATTCTCAGTAAAAACACACTTCCGTTTTTTATCCTACTTCGGAAGATTCATTTGCGACGGCATTCATCGTACTCACTGATACATCGGGGCAATAAAACTTCAGTAAGAGAGTATAACAAGTGATAACAGATGGATAAAATTAGTGCAATCTGTTCGAGGTTTGCTGTTAAAGGCAGTTGGAAAATCTCTGGCTCCCAGTGCGCGGCCTACAAGTTCGGCCGTGCCCTACGATTTCTCTATTTGGAGTTCATCAACACACACACACATTCCCACACTACATTTTGTCTATCGGTTCATGTCTTAATCCGTCACCCGTCCCGTGATGCAAATCAACTCACGCGATATTTTATACTCGCTACGTTGTAGCCGGTCCGCGGGTGTCATGGTAACACGTTAACAGGTAAGAGGTCGATCGTTTTCCATTCCTGTTATTCTCACCTTCCTATTCCACTTCGGAACTTTACTTCCCTCTTCAGTGCTTCCTTAGCTGCCTCCCTTAAATCGACCTCTTACTAGGCGGCTCGAGAGTCCAGTCGTCTACGAGATATTTATTTCGCATTGCAGCTTGTCGTACAACTTGGACACGGAAGAGCTTAGAACGCCAGACCGGAGGAATATTACATATTTGTCGACCCTGCCAGTTCCAGACAGCAGTCCACAAAGCTAGATTGTAGCCCTTAAGGCAATAGCTTTCTTCTATCGTGCTAATCGTAGTTGAATCCCCCGAGCCTAACCTACCACGCTAAATGCCTCTTACAGGTACATATATTGGTGCCGGTTTGGGCTATTATTGGCGTTTAGGACAGCGCCTGGTAAGTGGGGGGATAATGTAGCCGGTCCGCGGGTGCCACCTTAACAGGTAGGAGGACGAGCAGTTTTGTCTCGTATTATTCTTACCCTCTTATTCCTCTCCGGCCTTCTCCTTCCCTCTTCCGTGCTTTATTGGCTACCTCCCTTACATCGGCCTCTTACTAGGCGGCTCGAGCGTCCAGCCGTTTACGAGGTAATTATTTTGCATTGCAGCTTGTCGCACAACTTGGACACGGAAGAGCTTAGAATGTCAGACCGGGGGAATAGTACAACCTTTTACGACGCTCTTAACTCGTGCACTTTCGAACCGTTGTGTTATCAGCAACAAAGCAAAACGAATTCAGTGGCAATGTAACAATTCTGTTAGAAAACAGCGTTCTGAATAGAGTTGCACTTCGAAGGAAAAAGTTGAGCGATCTGAGCTTCCCAGTATTGTTTAGCACTAACAGCCGCTCGCTCATGCGAAGATTAAAGGAACTATCAAACATCGTTTTCTCAAATGAGTTTTCGCAGCTTGGAATGGTTGTTGCAAAAAATACCTGGCTCCATGCAGAACTGAATGATGCGGTCGTATCCATTGGAGAATTTATTTGTCATCGGGTTGACCTCCCACGCACATACCGAAACCGAGGTGATAGAGTACTTATTTACATCAATCCGTCTTGGTGTATTGCGACAAAACGTATTTTTTGCTTCTCCCTACATTTTATCAATTATTTACTCATACAACGTAAGCCGAGGTGTTGGAATGGCTACCGCTCAATATTGTTGGTCAACATCTACATATCTCCCACATGTCCCAAACCTGAAGAGGAGACTTTCTAAGATTAATTTACTGCAGCTGTCATAGGACACATCGAGCTTTCTCTGTGTATTGCGGCGGAGATTTCAACAGATGTGACACAACTTACCTCACCGATCTGGGGTTACGAAACATCGTCAATCTGCCCACCAGGTTAAACACCCACTTGGACCACGTGTTTGTTATTTATGTGAAGTGGTTCTCCATATGTACTCGGGCTCCAACCGGCAATTCTGATCACACAACAGTCAACATTTCACCTGTCATCTATAGGAAGAACAACCAACAACAAAGCACTCTCTGTAATGATCGAAGAGTCAGGTGGAGACAGTGCTCTCCACAGAATCCCGGCAGACTTCGCAAAATGATCGTATCGACGGAACATAGTTTGTTCTTTGCCCCTAATATATCACGGTATTGTGACAAGTTGACAAACTATTTCTAAGTTGATATCTGTTGTCCTTTGGAAGCTATTTGCGTCTGCGTTCATCGGTTTTCCTCTCCCACTTGAAGCGGCTAGCCCAACTTAAGGAGAAAGCGTTTAACGCAACAGACGGCACCTCAGTAAGATCCCTCCCAGGCCGTACCAAGGAAGGGCTACACCATATTAACAAAGTGTATGTCCAGTCTGTGCTTTGGAACGGTGGTTATCATGAACTCTGGAGGATGTTGAAAAAGCTTCGCGGAGTTACTCGATGTTCGCTCTATTTGTTGTAAAGGTAGAGCAATTGAATCATGAGTTCTGAAAGTGTAATACTACTACAGCTCCAGAGTCTACCTGTGCCCAAGTTCTGTGGTCTGCTGAATCACTGCCACCCGTTGACATTGCAACTGTAAATATTCTACTGAAACATCTACTTTCCGGAAAAGCTATTGGGCCGGACATGGTATCTGCTATCTTGCTCAAAGAATGTACCGATTGTTTGGCAACAGCTCTTGCGAGTATATACACAATTTGTATGCAGCAACACATAATAGCAGACTGTTGGAGTAGTGTCAACATTACAACAGTGCCAAAAAAGATCCAACAAATATCGACCGAAAGCGTGCAATTTCGTTGCTTTGAAGGTTCTGGAGAACTTTACTCTCTAAACCATGCCATCCAGAACGCGTTCTAAGGATCCCGTCTAGTTCGCCTATCGTAGTTCGATGTCTACCCTAGACGTTGGGGCCTATCTCGTACATTCTGTACTGTCATTGTTGACAACAGGAATAAAGCAACTTGGATGTGTTTTCTTGACTATATCAATGCATTTGGCTGTATAAACCGCAAAGTACTGCTAGAAGACCTATTTAGTCAAGGAGTACATCGCTCCATTGTCTAATTGCTGAGTGATTATTTCGCTGAACGAACTCAGATCAGCCGAGTAAGTGGCAGATGTTCCTCCGCACTTGTCACCAACGCAGGTTACCTTCAGGGAGCGATTCCATCGCCTTTTCTCTTTTCTACTTACGTCTGCTCTATGACAGCTCCAACTGAAGCGACTGGTAACATATGGGGAGGATATCGTCCTGGGCATCAATCACCAAAGTGCCGATTGTTCTGAACGATCTTAATCGCTGGTCCAAATCCCGCGATCTGTCACTTAATGCTTCATAGTGCCATGACATTATTTTTTTATTACACAAATGAGCCAGAAACGAGGAGTTCCTTACACTGTGCAACAAGTTACATATTGATGACGACGAATTACAGCTTTTTACATCAGTAAAATATCCGGGTTTGGAGTTAAGTTACAATTTAGCTTGGACGCTTCAAGTAAATGAAGCGTTCACAAACACCAGAAGGTTGTCATTCTATGCCTCACGGCTCAGAGCCTCCTATGTTCCTCGTGAGTTGATCTTTCGTTTTGACAATGCCTGTGTTCTTCCCCATTGGACGTACTGTTACCCTGTGATCTTTCCCGGTCTTTTGGGTAAGCACTGTAAGTTTATCGTCAGATCATTAAAGTACTTAGTCCGATGTAGCCGTATTTCGATAGCTACTTTTACCAACACTCTTATTTCTACACATAAATTCTTATAAAATGCTGGCGTCTAAGATACTGACCGATACAAGTCATCCCCTACATACTGCCTTATATGAATGTTTCTCAACTTCATCTACTAGGTAGAAGTACAAGCTAATCTATGCCTGCAGACAAGCTTACCACTCGTCAGTCATCTCTTACCTCTCGCGTCTTCTGCGTAAGCCCCACTCTGTTATGCTAAACTTAACCAGTCGACTTCCAACTTGCTTGCGCTTTTTGTCCTTAGCCAACTGGTTCATGTCGTATGGCTTCGCCACTGACTTACTTCCTTCGGTACGTTGTCGAGTGCAAATGTCTTGTAGCTGAATATTCACTCATGCAGGGTGCATAATACAATTTCCCGACTTGACTTGTCTTGCTTGGCGACGAGAATCGTTAAGATAATTACTCAAAGCTGCTACTAGGTAACCACTGCCGCATTTTCTAATTATCTCTATATCTTCATCTCTTGGTGGTGGTCTGGCTATGACCTTCTAGCCTGGATTCCTATCTCGTTGGGTTATCGCGCATTTCATGATTCTTATTCAGCCTTTTTAGCCGCGGCTATTGTCAAGCACCCTGCTGCTTCCAACTTCCAGGATTAATATTCCTGGTAGTTTATCAGTGCCCTTAGCAGTGTAAAGGTCAAAAATACTAGTATTTTCTTGCTGCACCTGTTGTACCCTCTGGGCACTCAGTAGCTTGGGGATCCGCATAGATATATTGCAACTCACTCTCCCAGGTTTTCGTCGTTCACACCCACTCCTTATTCCTCCAAGTGCCATTTCTGGTTTATGTCACCAAGTCACCGTCTACTTCACCCCGTCAATGATTAGCCGAAACCAGCTAGTGTCAAGGAAGTCTTTGGTGGCTATTGTGAGAGAGTGATGTATCTATGGAGACTCCTATCAGATTCCTCGAGGTATTACTCCCCCCGGATTACAATGGATATAGGGTAGGTAGTACAGTAGTCAAGTATCTGTTAGCATTCTAAATATCCAAAAGACCACGAATCCAAATTCGAAATCATTGTCTTATGAACACATTAGTTTTAGATAGTGCAAAGAAGGAAATGGGAAGTAAGTTTCTGAAAACAGAGCTTAGTATTGTGATACGCTCTCAAAGTTCTATATAACCCTGGTGTGTTCACTTATGTTCCAGCCATCTCGCAGTGCATTGTAAGTTTAACATCGATCGACTTATTATGGAGGAACAGATTGGGAATCGAAATCCTTTCACTGTCCATAGCTTATGGTTTTTACAAGCACTTGTGAAAGATGTCTAGATGGCATACATGGAGCGCGTGTTCACGCAGTGACCGCAACGCGATCTTGCGAATGAGAAGCCTTAGCCTCGAAGTTTCGAAGTGAAGTTGGCAGGAAAAGAATCCAGTTAAATAAATTCTAGTTTAAGTAATAATTCTTCGGTGTATCCTCATTTGAAGTGAATGAAATCCTAATTAAATAGCTGAATACCAGGTCCTTGGCTGTGAAACTGTTTAACCTGCGCTGTTAGTCCTGGCTTCCAATGCAGATGACAGTTTCACAAATGTGGTGGGATTTATTCCACTTCACATCCAGAATAATACTGGCAGGCTGCTTCATGCAGCTGAACACATGATCGAAACAAAATCCACACAAACCGTATGTAATCCAGTTATCCATTGTCATTTCAGGATCCCGAGACATCGAGAAGTCATGCAATGAATGACTGCAGGTCAATTCATATTATACCCTCATCATATCACCGATCCATAAAATAAAGGATTGTTCTTTAGAGCTTGGACCCAACCCGCTGGGTCGTCCGTCATCCCCTACACCTCACTCTCGTCCAATAATGGTTGAGGGAACGTAGCGAAGTACATCGAGACAGACAAAAGGCGACTTATCTTAATGGTCACTAGTCATACTGTGAATGAATCGGACAGATGCCATCGGATTGCAGCAGAACTCACTTCTTACCAAGCCCGTGGAATTTGCACTATCCAAGTGGGTCAAAGCTCCAGACAGTGATATATCTATAGTCTGCACATATACTACTTTATTCCCCTCGACGAATTATTTGAGAGGTTATTGAGTTGCTTCAGATTTCTTACAACGGTGAGCACACGAGTAGCAAAGTGCTGTTAGATCTCCTGCTATAATCACAAATGCGAATTTTACGAACAGGGTGCCAGAATGATGTGCGCTTTCCATCATTGACCAGCTGGTCACCGACTCCATCGTCAATCGGCTTGTCCCTATCCGGTCTTCGGATGCGTGTCCGAACAAAGGGCAACCATATGAGGAATTGTGTCACAACAAAGCTTATTTCTTGGGAGCAGTCGTAGTCTGTTTTGCGGTGTCGCTGCACGTGTACGCTAACGCTTCCAGGTTGATATCCCGAAGATGTCAAACCCCGTTTGAAATGTTGACCAGGTTATGAATTCCCAACTGCTGCATCCGTGAAACTGGGCTCCTAGTGACTACTGCTGCTTGTCGACTTATTTGCAAAGCCTATTCGTACCACAACCTGAGGATCAACATGCTTCACAACCGAAAAGCATGGCGACCCTTTCACGACTTTTGCTATGCAATTCTACTTAAACCAAGCCCTGTAGGGCGTCAGTCACTAATTGATCAAAACGCATTCGATGCGGATTGCGTGCACAACCGTCTCGCAGTATCGTTCCTTCGGGTGCATCATTATGCATTCGCTTATATATGAATAGTACGGGCTGTTCAGATACCGGCCGGCTCCGAAACAAACACTGTTATCACTCCGGTGTCTACCGGTCATGCATCACCGCGAGTGTGCAACATGGACCGAGCCATGTTTGATGCGATGCAGGTAGTACTTGCGGTCTCCGTGTAAACAGATTTTCTAATTCTGATTGGAACTGCAGGGTCAGATTGATGGGGAAATGTGGTCGGCAGCCAACATGCGCTGTAAATGAGTCAGGCTCCGCTCGAGTTGGCGTGATTGCAGTCCACGAACACCCGTGACCTCTTCTACACCTCCAGACGCAATCCAGATGTTTGACTGTTTAGCTGCCGCAATTCCGGCACACTGTTGCTGATCCAGACAGAACGATTGGTACTCATCCTAGTTCAACGACAACCGTAGTTCCTATGTAGGACTTCCTTTGTTTCCTTTAACTCAACTATGGATTGTTGACCAGAAATCATCTATGCAGTTAAAATAGAGGTTCAGCTTGGTTACTTCTTAGGGGAATGGAAGTATTTTATCACAGAAACGCAAAAGTTGACTTACCAATGTGATGGTTTTTTCACCTCCTGTAACTGAAGTAAAATGAACATATGCAATTGAAAGTAAGTTAAGAAAAAAGCTAAGATCATGCATTAAATCTGTCTGGCATGTAGGGGTTTTCGCGCGAAGCTGCCGACTTTGGTATACATCTTTTTCTTGGTATGTGCGAAGGGAAAACATAAATTTTCTTGGTTACCTATTGGATTATTTGATATTTCCGTCATGAGTAAATACAACAAACTTGCATACATAAACTGATCACTGAATGCAATAATTCCCTTCGTATTTGAGTACTTCCTAGCATGATTGGGAGCCTGGCTACACGCCGTGCGGACTGCTCTTGTTTTGTTTACCTTCAGAAAGCAAGCTCAATACACGAGACCTGGTTTCATTACATATGTTTTCGTTAGGTAAGGTTTGGGTGCATACCTAACTCTGTGCTTGAATTTTAGTCCGTGATCGAAACTGCGGTCAAGCGTTAGTTTGAAACAACGAAGGGAAAAGTCATACTCCATTGACTTAGCTAAGACAGAAGAACTTCTTCGGCGAGCAACTTTCAGCATTGTGCTCCACCATAAGCTTCGGTCTAATCCCACCTCAGCAGTAGGGTCGGATCAGCTAATGATGTAGCCTGCTAGAACTTGGTAAATCCTAGCCTAGCTAATTAGTTTATTGGAAGGTTTTATCCAGTTTTATATATGTCTTGGTCTGTTGAGAAGTGTCGAAAAGAAATTTTTTGCTATCATGAACGCTTAAATCGGTATGTAGGGATATATGGAGGTGAAATTCAACCCTCAGATTTCAATAACTGGTAGATGTCTAGGCGGTTAGTCTACTTGTCTTAGGATGCATTACTCGTGGCATACTGCTTCGAAGCTTGCCACCGTGCGTAGAATACTATTATTAGGCTAAGAACAGAAAACACTTTTATCAGCGCAAGGTTCATTCCATTGACTCATGAATGATGCTATCACTAAACTTGTAGGCAGATTAGAAGTCATACTGGTGTTGTTTGACAACAAATTGCACACCATGGTAGTTCTTTTGCGCACTTATTCTGCCTGAGTAAATGCAGGGTGAGAATGATTATGTAAGGCTGATGATGTACTGTTTTTCATCTTAAAAGCAGCTTGATTGTTGCTAACATCAAGGGAGTTCGAGTGTGCGCCGTACCTTCATCGATGTTAATCTTAGTTGCGTTGTAACCTATATATAGCCTATAAGAGGAGAGGGCACCGTTGGAGTACAAGGCTAAAGGAACGTTTAGTAAAAGCTCATATTTTTTGACACATAACAGCATGATCAAATTATAGTAACAAATTCGCCTTAACGTTGATTATCCAACCGTTGTGGCTTGAACTATCCGCAAGTGATGAAAGCATCCGCCAACTTCCACTTCCTTCACAGTTTCCTGTACCTGAACGATCATCGGATGGGAATGAAACATTTCGCACTGCGCAAGATTATGATGTAGCAATGAGCTTGTATTTGCTTATCAATACTTTACCATTAGTAAGGCCGTTGAGCCGCACGAGCCAGCTAGACTACTGTAGTTGGAAGCATGTCTGTTGCTCAAGAGCAGCAGAAAGGAAAAAGTAGTTATCTGAATTCGCGTATTAACCCTGAATATGAGTATTAATATCACAAATGTGCAGTGATGCAGTTCGCTTTCGCCGTAGACGAAATGCCTACAATGGTTTACGTTGTGTCGCCATACTTTCCACTGTCTCCTGTAAATGTATGATTACAGTGCACACGCATACAACCAATTCCACTCTAAGGTATTGGTTCCTCTAAATTTTAGCAAAATCAAAGGTTTAATCTATTCCGTGTGCATCACGCGTACTGTGAATCAGCATTCTGGTTGTATTGCGACTTCATTGTAGCTTCTGATTCAGTGAACAAACCTTCTACAAGCCTTTTCCAGTGTCCCTGTGAAATCATGTCATATCACGATAAAGTTCTGGAAAAGGGTCTAAATTATTGTTTCTCCGAGATTATCAGTTCTTTACTTACAACATTATACTAAAGCTTCAGATGAAATGCTGGCACTAAGAACTATGATGTAATTAGAATCAATGGACACTTGCCTCATGTTGGTCTACCAGAGTGATTTCTGTGGGTGCATCTATTTCCTGTAAAGGCAAAAAAGGTATTAATGCTGTCGATAACTTTATAGTTATGTTAAACTAATTTCACTCCTTAGCAGTATGGTTCAGCTGTACGCGCCTGTATCTTTCACTCCATGCCAACCAACCAACGTACAATGTCGATCCGAAGAATCTAGCGACATACAATGCAACAGTCTCCATAGGCCACGATGAACGTAGCCTTAAAGTTTGCATGATGTAAATCCTATATTTGAGCCGCGTGGGCAAGCTGATGTATGAAATCTGAAGCAAATAATTTGACTACCAGTAAACTATACGTTCTTCCTAATGAACACATCGGTACATTACAATGCCATTCCCCTGTTAGTATATGAACCATTCATGCAAATCACATTAACAGTTATCAAAGCATAATTATTAGGAAGGACTTGCCATTTTGACTGTAGTCGGGTTATTTGCTTTGGTTTTTTCATTTACAAAACAAGGAATATTTAACGAATCTTGTACTGCTGCACACGTAACTGTATCAACACTCCATGAGTCCTGTAGAGCTTAAATTACAAAAAAGTGTTTTGTCGATCCGTTGCCAAAATAATCACCATACTCTCTAGTTATCTAGGATTCGTTTGTGTAACATTCAGCAATGTGGTACTGGGTTACAGTAGCGTTCGGTTAAGAGGCCTGTGTCGGATAATCTTTTATTCTTGTTTCTGTTGTAGCGATTTTGGTGTACAAAATCTGCTCAAGCCTTTTTGCTAACCTGCAGTATTTCTGGGAGAGTGCAATAACCGTTTTAGCAAGTGGAAGGGTATTACATTTCACGGAGTACCGAAATCAGTCTGACCTGCTGCTGATCAGCCTACAATCGCTTGGTTGTAATTTCCCTGCACTCGGCATGTATATGGGTGGAGCAGTGCGATAATGGAAACCCTATTTTGACCACCTTATCACATGTTTCACAGGCGCCTTTATGCAATGCATGTCGAACTCTCCCACCCATCAGTTCACGTGAACTTGTTGACGGTTAGTTCAACCCTGTGCCTGCTTGCTCACGCGCCAAGTTCGTTTAGCCGAGACACATGGCGGTCTCACCAAATCCTTCACTCGCGGTCGCTGACAGATTTCCAGATCCGGTGATCGATCGTCTCGCGGTTTTAAGCACACACTCACACGTAGCGGCGGTATGCATTGCTCTGGTCGCTATAGGTGACGATAGAAGCGGGGTGCTGACAAGCATCCACCAACGTCTGGGAAGCAAATTTAGTGGATTAGCAAAGTAAAATGTCCCGTTACTTTGTTCCGCTGCAGCCCGCAGGGATGGACACAGGATCGTTTAGGAGTCCTCAACCTCTTCTTCCGAATGATACAAAATTTTCCCCAAAAATCTCAGGTTTGATATAAAGACCCACTTAAAACTCAACAAAGAATGTGTCGAAACTTAAAACTAGAAGAAGAGTATGATCTACACACTAAGAGTGAGGTATCAGGGTTGCGAGGAGCAACACGGAAATAATCTACTGGTTATTTATTTGGCCATTTATCGAAGTAACCCAAGCCACTGTTGCCCTGTTTCAAAAATGTTGCTACTCTGTGTTGGTGAGGCAACGTGTATCCCTAAATTCTAGCGTTTGTGTACTTTAGCTTTGGGGCTTACAACGAACCAGGTATTTCTCAGATAGGCCAAAATACAGTCATGGACATTCAAGTTTACCCAGTCTTTTGGAATGAATATAGTGTTGTGGGTACTGCAGTGCAAGATTTCTCTACCTATCCGTGTTCATCTTGAGGTATAAAATCCCAAACGAATAAGTGATCCACCATCGAAAGCGTAATCCATCTTTAACATATGCACTTCCGGACATTTAATATGATTCGCATAAGGCCTAACTTACTAACACCGGGTCCGTTTTCTCCGCGAGCAGGATAAAGCCAACCGTGTGTACCAATGCTACAGCTGCACCGGAGATGAGAAATGCTTTCGGAATACGGCCTATCAACTCGGTGTCGAGGAATAATCTGAATTGATCAAGAACAATTACAGACTGTCATGAGTATGGTTCAAGTTGATTAAAATAAAAGTCTAAAGTTCAACCGCATTTACCCGCAGTTAATTAATATAAACCACAAGTTTCACGGCAACAGAAACGTAACATCAGGAACGGTTATAATGAAAACTTTTCCGTTTTGAATGGACACAAATCTCAAAGGTTTAGTTCACGATTATGGGATTGTAGTGGTTGTGATTACACTGTATTTTATCTTTGTTTTGTCATTTCCGTTAGTGATCATTTTGTACCATTTGTTCAAATTCACAAACTTTGAATACAACAATTCTTACGAGCTCGGGTCTTGCTGCTTTCATTTTGTTGATGCCTCTGCTTGTGCTGCGGACACGTCTATCCACTAATCGGATTTACATTTTCGAATCTCTAGTCAGCATCGGAATAACACTGACTAGAGGAGGAACTATAACGCGGATATGTTGATTTTTCTTCTATTCTGAGTTTTTGCCTATGATCGTCTTTTGTCCCCGCCTTCGAACTCATTAGGTAACGGTCTTCTGCATTAATTGGTGACCTATACTTTTTTGAAAACGTCGTCTTTTTTCTTTAATATGTTTGATTAATCTTCTTGTGAAGAGTTATCTGAAAATTCCGTTACCTTTTCTTCGCCATACTTCGATGTGTCTAACCCATTTGTTTGGTTTATTCAAGTGGATTTCATACTTTGGTGTGCCAGCCACTGCCACTACTGACAGAAGATCTCAATTTAGTTCCACCCTTTTCCTTGACTTGCGTCAGCTGCTCGGTTGTACTCATTTTCGGACGACTGCTTATCATCCTGCTGCCAGTGAGTTTTGTTCAACGATTTCATCGACAACTGAAAGCCGTCATTACAGCTAGTTCGCCTGATGCCCGTTGATTTGAACGCCTTCCAGCTATTCTTCTTGGTATTCGCAATACTGTCAAAGAAGATATCGGATGCTGCCCAGCCGAACTTGTCTTTGGCACAAGCCTCAGACTCCCAGGCGAGATGATACTAGACTCACGAATCACCGGCGAACTGAATTCTACATCCCAAGCTGAACGCCTGAAGCATCATTTTCGATTCATTAGACCGACTCCACCTCGACTAAGCACGCGTAAGCAAGTTTTACATGTTGATTTACACACTTGTCCATTCATCTTTATCCGAATCGATGCTGTTCGAAGACCCTTGCCACCGCCTTATAAATGTCCTTTCAAGGTCTTATCGCGGAAACCGAAATACTTCGCTCTGGATAAGAATGGATCCAAAGGGTCTGTGAGCACTGATCATCTTAAACCCGCATTTATCCAGTCAACGTTGGATGGTTCAGAATCAAACACAATCATTCGCAACCCTCCTGTGCCTGGGCCGTTACCCAATGACAAACGCATAACCGATTCCCAAAACTCAGAATCCCTGTGCCCCCAACAAGCGATCCTATTCATACACGTTCAGGTCGTGTTGTTTCATTCCTCTCCAAACTAGCACAATATGTTCCACACACGCTACATCGAACGTTGCTTAGCAGCGCAAGCTATAGGAGGGGAGTTCTGTAGTGGTTGTGATTACACTGTACTTTGTCATTGTTTTTGGCATTTCAGTTAGTGATCATTTTGTACCATTTGTTCAAATTCCCAAACTTTGAATATAACAATTTCTATGCGCTCGCGTCGTTCTGCTTTCATTTTGCTGATGCCTGTGCTTTTGCTGCTGACACCTCTATCCACTAATCTGATTTACATCTTCGAATCTCTAGTCAGCATCGGAATAACATTGACTGGAGGAGGAACTATAACGCGTGTATTGATTTTTCTTCTATTCTGAGTTTTTGCCTATGATTGTCTTTTGTCCCCACACTCGAACTCATTAGGTAACGGTCCTCTACAGGATCGTTGCTCGATAGAGTTATGACAATGCGCGCTTCTCATTTTCCTGCCCATTTGTAAATTTCGCATTTTTAATGGTAACGCTTTGGTAAATTTACAGCTGACAATGTAGAATGCTGAAAACACATCCGTTTGTGTACATAAAGCCTTGACATGGCATGGAGTGGTCGACTGCTCGATTCCTCATGGAACTGGGGATGCGCACCAGTACCGGTTCCCAATGGGATGACACGACTGGCTAGCGCTTTTTCAGATATGCTGGAGACTGTCTGTCTCGGATTCAACTGCGGAGTACCATCAACAGATGTGCACTCAAGTGGAGAAACTGTTGCGTTGGGCTTTGGTTTCACTAGCAAACTTCCCCCCTGGTTACACAAGCAGCACATCTGGAAACCCACAAATAACGGTTCGACCAGGGTTGAAGCTTGACAGCCTCCATTTTCCCTCGCATAGGTATGGCTGCACGTAACTGCTGTTGGCTCGCAACACTTGCATCGTTCACTTGAAATTATTACCGCTCAGACGCGAATTGGACCTCCTGTCATTGGTACAGGAAGCAATGACAACAACCGTTTAGGTATTCCGTTAAGATTGCACAGTTCACTATGTACGTCTCCATTAAACGCATTGATCGGTCCTGAAATAATGAGGATTTCGGCCAGCGTCTACCCAGAGGTCAGATGAAAATATGACTGTGTGTTGTGCAAAAGTTAATCGATTCCTTAGACACTTCCAATATCTTTAGCTGGTTTCATTTGTTGCTGAACTGTAAGCGCACAGCTGCACCTACCTTTTTATGGTCAGCCTGGAATGACAGAAAACTTGAATAAAAACAGGCCGATCATATGTGTGGACATCTACACAAGTCTGTCAACCTCCATACGTCGAGCAAATGACCAGTGGTCCGTGAGCATTCCAAATATAGGCACAGCGACAATATTAACCAGATTGCGGGTGATTCCATTTAAGAACAGTGTCCTTGTTCAAGCGATTTGTTCACCACAGAATACCGACGACTCCGACCGGAGCTCAATCTCACATACCGGAGAGTGACAAAACGCGATCATCGATGTACATCATAGTTGATCTGACCTTCTTCCAACCAATGCCGAGACCATGATTTGAAACAAGTAGCCCTGGCCACCCGCCTGGACTGCATGAAGTTATTATACTTCCTTAGAATCTGTTCCCACTGGAATGCATTGCAGTGCAAGACGCAAATATACACCAACGGTTACTATATCCCTGTTGGAGACCGTGCGCGGATTCATCGAAATAACTCACTGGAGGCGGGCAGTATAAATGGTGATATTATTAATCGTGGTTCCATAATCCTAGTTTATATAAAAGAATACATTGGACTTACGAGTAGGTGAAGCGACTCACAACCAAGACAACGGTTAATCCACTGATCGTTCTAGCAATTAAGGTCACGTATGTGGCGCAGCAAAAATAAAGGTGATAAGTTTCGAGAAATAGTAATTTACTAGGTTAAACAGAAATATTTAACACCAGAAGTTAAACAAGCATAGAATCCGTGTGTTTCTAGCCAAATTATGCTCAGTCTGCAAATGAACAATGCTCAGAAGGAGCAAACCACGCAGTAATTGTCAGTAGAACAGTTCAATCTATGCATTTGTAAGTCACGCAAAGCATTGTGACCTTATAAGGACTATTGGGCCTTACTCTACATGATAAATTCTGTACGACGGTATGAAAACTTATCGTGCTTACTGATATCTCAGTATTTTGACATCTTGCTGGCAGTTTTCATGCTGTGCGTCTGATCAACCTGATGCCATTAGGCTTCACTTACCCTGTACGGTTGTCTGGCTTCACATTGGACGGATTGATGTACGCCGTTTGTATTGGAGTAAACACGAATCCACCAGCTGCGAAGGAGCCCAAAACCAAACCGACCACTAGACTTTTGCGGGTAGGAAACCACTTCAGTAAATAGAAAAATGGTCAGAGATGAAACGGCACTCAAAGATAGAAACAAGGCTTATGGAATTACTGTGGTTTCATGATCGATGGAAGTCGGATTGTCAGCGTTGAGAACAAATTCCTTGGTGTTGGTCGAATCATTAATCAGGCAAATTCGGTTGTTTTGAACTAGCCCCACGCATATTTTCATTCAAACAGGGCACTAGCTATGAAAACTAACGTCAGGACCTAGTAACGCGGAAAATACCTGCACTTCGGACGTGCTGATAGTGATCCAACTGAAAAAGAGCGTGCCAATTTCAGTTCGGACCAAAATTAGATCAGGTGTCATTATCCAGATACAATATGGATATATCAACTCACAGAAAAACATGCCTCCTGCCCACATACTGAGTTTTACACTGAATGTTTGGCGGCCTAAAGGGAAATGTGTCCTCTGGCAAACACATAGCTCTGAGTTCTATCCCTATAAGTGGTTAAGATGTTGGGGGAAGCGAACACATAGGAGGTATTAACCATACATTCTGTAAATTTGGAAAAACAACGAGCTAATACCTCGACATGAATGCTCGTAACTTTCAGTACTTTACCAACGGCGTTCCTAGCCTATCCCCGTTTTTGAAGATACGCCACGAAGAGTGAATGGACAACAAGTTTCTAGAACGTGAAAGTACGTGAAGTATGTTATCATTCCCTAGATTTCAAAGGGTAGTGGCGATTCGGAACCAATGAACACTTGCTTATGCTCCTACCAGTGTTATTAATGATGGTGGAGTCCATCACAGTTCAGACATCGATGGATCATTTAGCAATATTTAACGTCATAGCGATGGAGCAAAACGGAGTTTGCCGGCCTCGGTCATGTACCACCAGTCCATTGGTAGCGTGCCGCAGTTGGACAAAAACAGCCGATAATGGGACCAGTACCGTTGTCATCCATCTCGATTTTGTTAAAGCCTAGGACCGATTAAAACCGTGATTCCTTCTCCAAATGTTTCAAACGTAGGGAATCAGAAACTTTGTTTTAGGATGGCTTGGAAATTTATTCCTTTAGTTGCCGCTTCACGTTCGGGCTCGGGCCTCATTTTCTGATCATATTGATCTGGACGGCGGTGTTCCACAAAGGGCGGGGTTTAGGCAGAGCTTCTTCTTGCTCTTCATTGACGAGCATGTGCATCTTATCCAGTCGAGCTACCGCATTTATGCCGAGGACATCAAGATATGGCGAGCGACCGGTAATTTGGGATATTACGATCTGCTGCAACGGAACTTTGACCATGCTATTGGATGATCAAAGGCAAATCGACCTCAATTCGACATGGGAAAGTGCAGCAATATGCACCTACACCACGAGTCGGAAAACGTATATAAGTTTGACAGTGACATCTTGAAAACCGCCTCACAGAAGCGCAACATTGGCTTTATGATCCAAGGCGACCTATGATCTTCGGCACAGTCATAGAAGACATCCGAAACAGCAAACTAGCATGTTGGTCTCTTGAAGATGACATGCAGGGGCATTTCAACCCCCCATTATCCCCAATTGCTCAGCGCATATATGATGCCCTCTATAGAGTATGCGATCCAGGCATGGCAACCTTGGCAAAACGCGACTTGTTTGCATGGAGATCCCAGCGGGCGGGGCTTGTTCCGACTCTCATATGAACTTCGACTGAAGACCCTAGGAGTGTACAGCGAAAGACATCGTCTTCTACAGACTGAACTTATTCTGGAGTATCAGATCTTGAAAACTCTTATCACGCTTGCCGCTTCCTCATGATACTTGACCGCAACAAAAATCAAGGTGTCGCCAACTGAAACTGACCACCCAACACAGCCGATTGGAATGTCACTAGGATTATTTTCTTTTTGAATTTGTCGGCCGAGGAAAGCTCTTTCGATTTTTGTCAGTTCTATTCCCAAGCTATCAATTTTGGACAAGCGATTCGGTGATGCATTTTGCCTTCCGAATTATTTGACTTGAATTCGGTTCATTAATTAACGATATCATCAGCATCAACAGCAATACATCAGTTATTGGAACTGATGCTACGCTGCCATCCAACCGTGTGTACCTATGAAACAAAGAATAAGAAGAGGGAGAGAAGAAGGAATTACCTGAAAATCCTAAGGCCCTAAACAAACATTCAGGCTCAAGGCGCCTACACCTTGCGTAAACAACATACCGTCATAAACAGCTGGCTATCGTGCAAAGATAAGGCGGCATCGGCGAGACAGCTTCCTTGTGACTTTCACTGCCACGCGTCATAATCAGCCATTACCCGCAGATAACTCAGTACTAAACACACTTTAAACAGGCAATTCGATTAGGAGACGGCAGCAGACGCGCCATTGGTGTCGGTTACGAGCCACGTCCAGTAAATTCTCTAGCCAAGCACAGGCGAGTCAGTTGGACTCCAACCCGGAAGGCGAGACGGGCCAATGGCACCCAGTTTGGTCGTCAGTGACTTCATTTCACGCTGCCAAGTCAAGTTCTGTCCACCTCGAGCCTTGCGCCACCCTACACCTGACAGACTAAACAAGTCCCTCCTAGGTAAGCGGTGACCAGGCATACGTAGCAACTTATTCAGTGCTATCTGGTGTTCTAGGGAGCTAACATGATTATCACTACCTAGTACTCGTCTACGCACATCACGGGTTCGGACACGCTGGTGCTATCCGACACCAGCAGTGCTACACAGACAACGGTGATCAAAAACTTGAAAGCGCCTCAGGTCTTCGGACCGAAGGGGCCAAGTCTCACTACCATACAGCAGAACGGCCTCCACTGTAGCCTTGTATACACGGTCTTTCAGACGGAGGGAAATGCCCTTCTGTCGCCAAAGATGCCGCAGGTTCAAGAAGGCAGCTTTGGTCTTTGTAATGCGTGACCTTTTCTTCAAACATCAACCGACGACAGGAGGCAGACAAACATTGTACTCGACAACCTCGATGAAATCATAGTCAAGGAGTATACTCGTATGTAAACGTCAATACTATGAGTTCACGGATGGGCGTTTCACCTCAGTGCAACCTTGTTTTGAACTTATGCACTTAACAAAAACCATCTCACTGTACCTGTCGAACGTTGTTTTGTTAAGCCGTATTGCACCATTATTCCAATATTGTCTGTCACGCGAATCGCAAGGATAATTGGATGAAACTAACGGCTAAATCATTTAACTTTGCGTTATTGGAAAAATAAGTGAAAATCATCCATCTCATCTCCGTTGAAACCCATTGGCCATAGTTGAACTCTAGATAGCGTATAGAAAGTTACCTGCTCTCTCTGTAGAATGACATACATTACCGCTAACACTGCGAAAAACCTCCTTTTGCTGTACAAATAATTAAGGGCAATCATTTTCATGTGGTTGGTACTGACTAGTTTACTTTGTACAGATGTACAACGCTGGTTAGTGAACATACCATATAGTAGTATTTAAGGCAAGCCCAAATCATTCGAGGTAGATTGTTGCGCACTTTGGAATGTAGCTCTCAAATGTTTTATTCCACATCAGGTAGAGCAACAATCATTTGCCCGAGTGGAACTGTTGCGTAATTAGAAAGGGGGTTTCCTCACCTGAGCAGTGGTGTAATCTCTTGTGGCTTGGATAGAAGTTAGGTTTATAAGACAATCAATGGTCTTACGCTATATTGGAGACGACTGTTTGGAATAAGAAAGGAAAAATAAGTGAACTAAAGCCAGGTATATGTTTATTACCGAAAGTACCAACTCTCAAGACTAACAGGCACCCAAGAACCGCTGGTTTAGGAGAGATACATAACAACCTCCCAGCAGCGTCGGAGGTAGTGATCAGGTTGCGTCCAAATGTGTGTGCAGTTAAATAAATGTAGTCAGAGTGCGACAAACTATACGCCTAATTCTCCTGGACACAAAATAAAAATATACTTTGCTATATTTACCACATCGTACGACAACCGTACGGGGAAAACTCCTGGTAGCTCCAGAATAACACACATGATAAGTTGGATAAGAGAGATTGCGAATCTCCTAATTTTAGCTTCCACCATTGCAACCGAATGCGTACGCCAGCTGATTGTAATCAGTGGACATTGTTTTCTCTCAACGGTGTAGATTCTGTTTAAATTTGCCTCCAGCAATAGAAGCCCGTTACCGGAATAAATGCGCCTCAGTAAGGCATTGTCCCTTGTTGGTCGCATTACGTATCAACGGATCACTACTCAGAATTAGGTCCATTTTCTATCAAGCCGATGAGAGGGTATCTGACCGAAGGATAGCTTTTTTGCCGTGCGAATTTGGAGCCGAATATCAACCACTTCTAAAGAATATCGGATCACGTGTGTCAGCCGCGTACATTGGATTATGTCAGCCATTCAGGTGACAAACATGCGGTCTCACATTGATTGTTTACTCTACGACATTCAGCATTGTGTCCACAGTTACAAGGCAGAACATGAAGTGTAAAAGAGTGCTCTTGGTCCGCATCGCTACTAACTAGATAAATAAAAGCTTTTTCAAGTTAATGCGAGACGTGTCTGTGTCGGTGTGATCAGTGAATGAATTTAGCCATTATCAAGACCTCTGTTCATCCAGAGTAGGGGATCCTGATAGGCGATATCTTTCAGTTTCCAGTAGTAGGATTGTCTTTACCTTAGCTTTGCTCTACCTTAAAGATCTCATATGTCGGGCATGTCAAACTGAGGACCGCACTAGGGACACATGAGTAACAATTATTTGCTTGAAGACTGAACACCACTACTAACCAAAATCATGATGTATATACCAACAAGTATATACGTTCTGTGTGGGCCGTAGGCGAGGTTGCGTAGCGTTGCAAGTAGACCTAGAGTCTGCAGTCTGATGTTTTCTGACAGATTCAATATAAGGTATGGAATGCTTAGCTTCGTCCCTTACAAACTTATTATGTGGAAACAAAGTAAAGCGTTAAACCTGACATCCTTTGCTCCATATTGATGAAAAACAGCAAAACCTAATCAATGATTTAGCTAGATCT